CTCCTTCTCCCTGATGATGTGTGATGCCCCCTTTCGACACAGCTCCTTCTCGACTTTATCTTGTGAATCCTTTTAGCCACTTGTTGAACCTCATGACCAAACCCCTTGGTCATGTGGTCATGTTGGCACAGCTCCATCTCAACTTTGTCTTGTGAATCCCTTTAGTCACTTGTTGAACCTTGTGACCCAACCCCTTGGTCATGTGGTCATGTCAGCACAGCTCTGAGTACTTGCTTGTATGAGCCAACTAGTTGAGGCATGCTGATCCAACTGATCCTGACCAATCCCATGAGATTGATCTGGATTCCCAGAATTCAATTGATCTTGTAATTCATATGTGCTGCCAACCCAATTAATCTCGTTGATCCCCAATGGTTATTGGCTCTGATCGATCTGGTGCACCCTTCATATGTTGATCTTCTGTGCACCCTTCATATACTGCTCCGTTACACAACATTACCATGACTGCCGCTTGATCAATTGGCACACTCTCTTGCGCTGGCCAGCCGATCCTGTGACACAAGACTGACGCAAACCTGATCCCTACGAAGTACAAGGCAAGATTAGTAGCACGAGGATTCACTCAGAGGGAGGGCCTAGATTATGCAGAGATCTTCACACCAGTGGCACCCATCCAGGTGATAAGAGGAGTGCTGGCCATCGCAGTGGTATGAGATTGGGAGGTTGACTCAATTGACATCAAGCAGGCCTACCTCAATGCAAGCCTGCATCACAACATCTATCTAAAGCCACCAGTTGGGACCAGGGTACCACCAGGGAAGGTATTGAAGCTTGTAAAGGGACTCTATGGCCTAAAACAATCAGGCTGTGAATGGAATATCAAGCTGGACTCCCACCTACAAAGGATCAGTTTTCACTGCATGCCAAGTGCCCCATGCCTTTACTCAAGAGGGGCAGGCAGTCAACTCACAGTTATCACAGCATATGTGGATGACATGCTGATTGCATCGCCTTGCTGTAAGGAGGTTGACTGCACTAAGACCGAGATCATGGATAAATGGGGAACAGAGGATAATGGACCCGTAAAGGAGTTCCTAGGCATCAAAATTACTCGAGAAAGAAAGCAAGGTGTCATGGGCCTGAATGCGCAGGTAGCAGGAAGACCCGTTAGTTCATATGAAGGGAGCACAGGAATCAGGGGATCAGGCAGATCATAGGAGTTGCAGCAGAATTCGCTGAGATCTGCAGTAGAATCAGCTCTATGACAGATCTTGGTGCAATCAGTATGAGCAAGGATGATATCACAGATTCTGCCAAGATCAGTAGTAAGCATGATTGTAGGGCAGATTCTGTGGAGATCAGCAATAGGGATGTTCATACAATGTTTCACATGCAAGGAGGACCAAGCTCACATATGGGGAGGACCAAGCTTTGCCAAGATGGGGACCAAGCTCAGTGACATGCAGATGGTTACCACTCAGGGGCACACAAGATAGGAGTAAAGAGAACTGTCACTGATGGAAGGAGGAGGAGCAGTGTTGAAGGAGTCGACACAACTCAAGGAGGGCAGGAGCGATGAGCAAGCATGGTTTGAGGAGGAGGAGGAGCCTTATCAGGGGCCCTTGGATAGTACTTGACGAAGAAGGTACTCTCTGGAGAGAGGGCCAGAGCAGTGTCACTGGCGATGCTGTGAAGAGGTATATAACCATACCTTCTCATCACAAGTGGTCGAGTGGATCCCCATCCACTCTACACACCATAACTAGTATTACTTCAGAAGCATAAGTACTCATTAGTTCAGTCAGCATAGTAGTAATCGATAGATTGCTCCTCATTGTAGCATGTGTGTTGTATCACCACTCACTGACATCCAAAGGCAGTTCATAGTAAACCAGCAGTCTGGATTAGATAGAACTGAAGGCAGTCATCCACTGCAGTCCAGGGATCACCTCAAGCAATAGTCAACACACTGGACACTTGTGTCAATGCCACCAGTACCCACACTCACACCAGACCTTTGGTGTCATCATCAAGTTCACCCCCAAAGTATTGATATTGATCATGCCAAGCTACCTCTGGACAGAGTGTCCACAGCAGTCAGTCAAAATCTGCAATAGCATTACTACAACTACAGATTCGAGCAAGAAAAGTGATAGAGATGGCTCTATTGCATATTTCACCAAGAATTGTAATACCACTAGTGTTGTTGCATAACTTGACAGAATTGGTACTAGTATCGATACTACTACCGATCTCAGGTTTCAGGTGCGTGACCGCTGACACAAGGCAAGATCTGACTCAACCTAACCGCATATATCAAGGGCATGGTGGGTAAGTGGCTAGAAAGATCAAGCGAAAGAAGCTGGATTCCAATGCAGAGTGTAGCAGGAATTGCCAGAGGAGGCAAATGCACCCCAGATCAAGCCAAGCAATACCAAGAGTTGGTGGGGCAACTCTTATGGGTATCTAATACAGTAAGGCCAGATATCTCATTTGCAGTTGGAACCTTGGCATGATATATGTCAGAACCAATTGATAGCACATGGAAGGCTGCAATACACCTACTGAAGTACCTAAACCAGACAAGCAATTATCACCTGGATTTAGGAGGAATGCATAGGAATCATGCAGACCAACCAGTAGTTACATATACTGACACAAATTGGGCCTCTGACCCTATGAATGGACATAGGAGTATGTCTGGGGCAATCACATATGTGTATGGATGCCCAGTCAGCTGGAAATCACATGTACAGAAATGTGTAGCACTATTGGCAGTAGAGGCAGAGCTGGTTGCTGCATCCAAAGCAGCAAGGGAAGTGCATTTCTTCTCATACCTACTCAGAGACCTAGGAGTAGTTGGAGTCAAGCCAATATTGTGCACTGACAGTCAAGGATGCATACAGGTCAGTAAGGACCCAGCCAAACACTGGAAACTCAAGCACATCAACACCAGATATTACTTCATTAGGGATCATGTACAAGACAGTGATATATTGATCGAGTTTGTTGGAATGGCCAACAATGTGGCTGACATTCTCACAAAGCCCCTCAAAGGGCTTGGCATGACAAAGGTATCAAGAATGATAGGATTGGATATGCCATTGAGGAGGGGAGTTGAAGATACACTGGCATCACCAAAGTGTGATGTGTTAAATCAGAATACTCAGGATCAGGGAATTGGGAAGACACCAAGTGACAAGGAAGATAAGATAGATGCAAAGCTAGTGGGGGCTTATGCATCCTATGCATGAGGATTGACACCATGGTATGCAGGGGGTATGTTGATATGACAACACTTATGAAAAGGAGATACATGGTGTCATGGGCCTGAATTCTCAAGAAGCAGGAGGGTCACTGGTTCATATGGAAGGAGCACAGGTATTGGAGATCTAGTCGATACCAGTAGAGAGCATGGTTGTAGTGCAGTCTCCATGGAGACCATGGACTCCTACAGACTCACATGCAAAGGAGCACTGAGCCATATGTGAGGAAGGCCAGGCACAGCCACAAGGAGGACCAAGCTCAAGGAGCAGGCACAGCCACAAAGGGGACCAAGCTCAAAGAGCATGCAGATGGTTACCACTCAGGGGCTCGAGAGACAAGAGTCAAAGGAACTGTCACCAGTCAAAGGAGAAGGAGCAGTGTATAGGTAACCAGCAAGCAGGTCCTGAGGAGGAGGAGCAGTGTCGAAGGAGTCGATAGCTCAAGGAGGACAGGAGTGGTGCTAGAGGGGCCCCCTGTACAAGTACTCGATGAAGAAGGTACTCTCTGGAGAGAGAGCAGGAGCAGCATTGCTGGCGATGCTGTGAAGAGGTATATAACCATACTTTCTCATCATCAAAGGTCAAGTGGATCCTCATCCACTCTACACACATCATAACTAGTTATCACTTCAGCATAAGTATATATTAGTTCCAGTCAGCATAGTAGCAATCTATCAAGGTTGCTCCTCCTTGTAGTGCATGTGTTGTATCACCACTACCTGATGTCCGAAGGCAGTTCATAGCAAACCAGCAGTCTGGATTAAGATAGAACTGAAGGCAGTAGTCCACTGCAGTCTGGGGATCACTCCAAGCATCAGTCAACACACTGGACACTTGTGTTGATGCCACCAACCTTATCACCAACACCATCAATCTCATTATCATCAAGACTCACCAACCTTATCACCAACACCATCAACCTCATCATCATCAACACTCACACCAGACCTTGGTGTCATCATAACCTACATATTGATATTGATCATGATGAGCTACCCCTGAATGGAGTGTCCACAGAGGTCAGCCAAAACCTACAATAGTATATACAATGAACACCACCTGCTGTCATTGCGCAACTTGATAGTCGCTGAGCAACTAGCTCATCGAGACCAATACTGAGACAATAGCTGTCAACAGTTTGATAGTCACCAAGTATCTTGACAGACTGACCTGGGTTTCAGGCACGAGACCCCTGACACATGGCACATGGGCATGACTCGAAGAAGTAAGCATAGTCAGGTGCCAAGGCATATATATATGCTCCTGTTTAGTCGTCACCTCCTCATGAAATCTAAAGCCTTTTGTGTAGTTTCACCTGATAGAGAGAGCACCTGATTGTGGCCTCACGAGCGGTGTATCTAAATTCAACTCTCACTTGTGCGACCACGTGAGTCAAGCTGGGATGCGAGGTCAGGATTTTTCGACTGGTCCAGCAAATCCAGAGTCCAAGTCACACACCTGCGGCATGACAGGTCTCAGAAACGAAGCTAAATCATATACGCCAAAAGAGACTACAGTTGAAGTCATTCGTCAGTGCGTTGGAGTTGAGGCGTCTTGTTGATGATGATGGTAAGAGACAGAGAGCGAGAGAGCGAGGAGTCTATATATATACAAAAGAAGAGCGGCAGAGAGCCGCATTGACTGCAGAACATAACAAAGCATTTGCCTTGAGTAGGTTGTGACACATGTGGTCTGTGCTAAGATGTTCAGGCCTTTTACTCGGCCGTAAGCACTACCTTCACTGTCTCTATGCTTTGTGTGGCTTTATCTACTTCAACTCCCCCCCTCAACAGCATATGTACCCTGTTCATTATGCTGTTGTTTCAAGGTGTGACCTCCGTTCTTCAACACTGTCGCATAGCTCGGGGACCCCATTTCGTACACTGCTGCTGGTATTTGCAGGTGTAGCCCAGATCTTGCTTGCTGCATTGCCTGTCTCCCAATGGGCTTTGTGAGTACGTCTGCCAAGTTTCTTGTGGTGTCTACGTACTTGATCTGCACCCTTCCCTCTTGGACATTGTTACGGACGAAGTGATACTTGGTGTCGATGTGCTTAAGCTTCCAGTGCTGTGCTGGGTCCTTACTAACCTGTATGCAACCAGTGTTGTCCGAGTAGACCATCGGTGTGTCTGTGGCAATGCCAATTGAGCATAGCAGCTGCTTGAGGAAGAGCACCTCACGTGTTGCTTCTGTGGCTGCAATGAACTCTGCCTCAACAGCGGACAATGACATGCATTTTTGTGTCGCTGACTTCCAGGCTACTGGATTCCCATACACTAACGCCACTGACCCCGATGTGCTCCTTCTCTGTATGGTGGCATCGCTTGCCCAGTTTGCATTGCTGTGTGCAACCAGTGGCTCTTGCGACTCACTTGCTCTATAAACCAATCCAACCTGCCTTGTGCTTTCGAGGTAGCGTAAGACCCTTTGTGCTGCTTGATAATGCTCCTGTGATGGTTCACGCATGTGCCTAGCAAGAACACCCACGGTGAGACTAAGGTCGGGCCGGGTGCTGTTGGCAACCCAGAGCAGCTTGCCAACAATCACCGGATACTCCCTCTGTTGTGCTGCACTTGCAATAAGGGTTCCCTCCGGTATGCTCTGCATTGGAACCATGGTCGGCTTCGTACGTTTGTCCAGGTGCTTTGCCAGCACTTGGTCAATGTACCCTGACTGACCAATCGTCATGGTGTGCATCGCACGGTCTCGACTGTTTTTGATGCCCAAGAAGTGAGAGACCTCACCGCTATCTTCCATCTTCCATCTCTGACCAATCTGCTTCTTAACCTTTAGGACCGTTTCCAGCCGTGGTGCTATGACTAATGTATCATCGATGTAGATAACCACAATGGCCATATCTTCACCCTGTCCCTTGGTGTAGATGCAGGGAGTGCACTCTACCTGGAAGAATCCCATGTGTCGCAAAGACCTGTCGAACTCCTGATTCCATTCTCGCCCAGACTGCTTTAGGCCATATAGACCCTTGACTACCTTGTACACCTTGCTGGGTGCTACTCCTGATCCTTCTGGCAGCTTCATGTAGATTGCTTCCTTTAATGTGGAGTTCAAGTAAGCCATAGTGATGTCCAGAGCATGTACCTCCCAGTTGTTCTGCACCGCTAGTGCTAAGATGGCTCTGATCACTCCGAGGGGTGCTACTGGAGAGAAGGTTTCTTGGTAGTCGATCCCCTCTCTCTGTGTGAAGCCCCTTGCGACCAGTTGCGCCTTGTGCTTAACAGGTACACCATCAGCGTCAAGCTTCAGCCGAAGCACAACCTTAGAGTCCACAAGTGGTACTCCTGGTGGTTGGTGCACCACCTCCCAAGTCCCCATTGCCTCAAGTCCTTCTAGCTCCTTTCATATTGCCTCCTTCCAGAGCTGGGCGTCCTCACCATTCATTGCTTCCCCAAGCATTGGGTCCAGGTTCAGTATTGCTGTGTTGGCGGCGCCTACTGTGCTGTCTACGGCTGGTAGGAGATCCTCTACTGCGGCCTCTGATTTGGTCTCCTCTTCCACTGTGGCTGGTGTGACACCCTCCTCCTCGACCTCCGCAGTCACCACGGGCCTGACTGCCTCTTGTTGGCGATCACTCCATCCCTTGTCCTCATGGAACGTTGCTGAGTTGCTCCATTGAATTGACGCAGGCTGGTCCGGGTTGCAAAACTTCCATGCTTTGTGTTCGTTGTCATACCCAATCATGATGGCTGGCTTTGCTCTAGCCCCGTACTTGCCCTGCTGGTCCTTCTGTTGAATATGAACCCATGCCAAGCATCCGAAGACTTGCAGCTGCTGGGCCAGCTTGTGCGCGGTGGTTCCATAAAAGGCCTCGTGGGGAATGGTTTTGGTGGCTGACGGGGTAAGGTTCATCACGTGTGCTGCTGCTGTGATTGCATACGGCCACAACTCTCTGGGGCAAGCTCGACCAATCAGCATCGAGCGCATCTTTTCTTGGACCGACCTGATTGCTCTCTCCGCCCGTCCATTTTGGACGCTGATCCCTGGGACGCTCTTTTGCCACTTGAAACCCTCTTGTGTTTGCCAGTCTTCAGCTGCTATGCTGCACCATTCTCCTCCATTGTCGCTGCGGAGTGTTTTGAGTTTCCTGTCCGTTGCCCGTTCCATCCTGGCTATCCACCTTCTCAGCGCCATGAGTGTGGCGCTCTTTGTGCAGAGTGGTTCCATGTAGATCAGAGAGGAGAAGTCGTCCACAGCAACTAGTGCGTAGTGGTAGTTGGCATGTCCTTTGAAATCTGTCATCAGGTCTACGTGTACCAGCTCTAATGGTGCCTCCATTCTTTCCGACTCTGATTGGCCCATCCGTGCTCGAGTCTGTTTTCCTTGACTGCACGCATTACAGTGCTTCGACTCATGTTCCATTTTCTCATCGGTACCTAGGTAATGGGCCCGGATTTGTCTCGTTTTGTCTCGTCCTGGGTGTCCGAACCTCTCATGCCATAGGTAGCTGTCTCGATGCTTCATGTCCTTATTGCCCTCCGGGGCATTATCTAGTTTTCCTGTGTTCTGGTTGTCCGCTGGGACATCATCTCGTGTTTCCTCCAGTTCCAAAGCCAGTGCTTGCCCTTGCACTTTGAAGTGACCCTGTCTTCTGTCCCTTTTGAATTGTACTTGGGTACCATCATTCTGCTTTATGGTAGTTCCAAATTCGTCAAAGATTACTCGTGCACCATTCTCGATCAAGCCTTGTACAGACAATAAATTAGCATTCAGTTTCGGTACATAAAGCACATCCAATAGTTGGATGGTGGCCTCACCGACCCGAAGGGAGGCATCTCCTATAGCCTTCACCTGAAGCTTTTCGTCCCCAGCTGTACTGATTTGGCCGACCTTGTTCGTCGAGGTGAGCAGCATTCTCTCATCATTTACCATATGATGGGTTGCACCTGAATCGATGATCCAGGTGTCGCATGCTGATCGCTCGCCCCTGTCGACTGCTAGAAAGGTGCACCCAAGTTCCTAGTGGTTCACCTCTTGTGTCGTATGAGCAACAGGTTCGCTTGTGCCTGGTGCGTTCGTGCAATTTCGAGCAATGTGATTCGGTTCTCCACAAGCGTAGCACTTTGGAGGGGCCAAGGGATTGCGAGGGTCGCGCCTGCCCCTGGGTCTTTGCCCCACCTGGTTGGCACTCCCCTGTTCCGCGCTTGTGGCGACCCTTGCTGCTCCTCTAATGCGGCCAGTGATCTCACCATCCTGCTGTTTCTTGGCAAGTGCGTGGTAGGCTTCGTCATACTTACAGTCTGGTCTGGCCGTCTTCAGTGCATCGACAGTGTTGGCATAGAACCAATCTTGAGCCGTGCAGCGATAGAGAGTTGATTTCTTGAGGTCCTCGTCGAAATGCTTTCCGAGGCGTGCCGCATCGTTCCAGATCGAATCAAGTTCCTTGCCTAGCCTGACAATGTCTCGATTGTGCAAGTGCACTGTGTGGATACGATCCTGCAGTCCTGCTCGCTTTACAGCGTCGTTTAGTGTTAGTGCCTTCTTGAGTTTGGCATAGAGTGTGCTGCCAAGTTGAACTTCTTCATCCACCCCTCTGATGGTATAGGTGTCGATGTGGCTATCCGGGCTGTTATCGCAGCAGGCGTGGATGAGGCCCACGAGTGCCTTGTCTAGGTCTTCATCGTATTCCTCGCTCCCAGGTACAACAGTACCATACAGGATTTCCTTCGCGTTGTGCACTCTCTGGAGGCAGTCGATAAAGGTGGGTTCCCAGGTGTGCCAATTGCTATCGCTGAGCTTCTTGATGTGAGCAATGGAGCTCGATACATCCTTGGGGATCTTTTCGGTCTCCCTGCGTGGAGCTTGGTTGCTAATGTTGACCAGACCCATGGCCCATACTATTGCTTCCTCTGCCAATAGTGCTGGGTTCGCCAGCTGGAGGATCCTGACTACCTGCATGAGCCATCCTTCCTCCTGTCCATTTCCTGTTGTTTGATCATCATCCCCCCTTCCCGTCTGTCCTGCTCTTGTCGATGGCAGCATTGCGTTGAGTTTCAGACTCTTAATCAGTTGAAGTCATTCGTCAGTGCATTGGAGTTGAGGCATCTTGTTGATGATGATGGTAAGAGACAGAGAGCGAGAGAGCGAGGAGTCTATATATATACAAAAGAAGAGCGGCAGAGAGCTGCATTGACTGCAGAACATAACAAAGCATTTGCCTTGAGTAGGTTGTGACACATGTGGTCCGTGCTAAGATGTTCAGGCCTTTTACTCGGCCGTAAGCACTACCTTCACTGTCTCTACGCTTTGTGTGGCTTTATCTACTTCAACTACTACTCCTCTTGATTGGCCGTTATTTTCGACGCCTGCTTTGGCGAATCAACTGCCTGCCATGTGTCGTGACTGGCATCAGTCTTCGCATGAGCCAATCCCAGCAAAGCACGCAGGCACGAGAATGGAAGCGTGAGGCCGAACGCATCGAAGATTCGGAATCGTGCACCGTTGGTTTGCTGGCGTTAGCATGCAAGCTTAGGCTGGTTTTCTTCTTCAATCTCTGATTCACTCTGCAGGAACGGTTATTGAAGAAGAACGTGCGGCAAATGGTGGTGAACGCAAGTATCGATTGCGATGGATCAAATAAGACTAGATACAGGATGATGATCAATAAATCTATATCTTTCAGCGTTCTGTACATGCGTGTATGATACTGAGACGTGCTGCCTATGAACGATGTTGAAACCCAACGGGGCAACTATCTCGGGTATTGGATAGCCGGTATCCCGATGCTTGTCACGATAATCGACCTGGGACAACATGCTGCATATCCGAGTGAGCGTAACCCTAACCCACTGAATACGGTAGCCCGACTTCGGTAAAGAGTAGTGTTTCTACATTCCTGACCAAGAGCGGGACTAAATCCATGTTATAAGAGGCTAAGGGCAGAGGAAAAAACCTCGGTCCGCGGTCCGTGTTGAGCATTAACTATCAACGTGCGTGATCTATACACACAGTTACTGTTCGATCGTGGCAACACTATTGGCGTTGACTTCTATGGGACATGGGCAGTTTGAATCGAAATAAAGGTCAGTCATTTCAAAGGTTGTCGTCTTTCTTTGAAGCTCCGCTTGAGTTGCTGCTGTTACGACCCAGCCCAAAGTGTTTTTCCCTTCACATGCAGGTCCGGTTGTAATTCAAGACAAGTTATCGCAAAACTCTGAGTCCAGTGGATTTGCCGAGGAAATATCAGAAAGCGTGCTTGAAGGCTCTCTACCGCTCTGATCTGCCACCCCGCATTTCTGGCTACAATCTTCTCCGCACGAGTCCGTTGACCGTGTCGACAGCCACTGCCGGACATAACCAAGGGGCGCCATAAGGCTCTGTCTCATCTGGGTCAAGCCCCTACGTGTGAAGAGACAGGAGGAGCCTGCATAGTCTGCTTGCGGAACCGTATTTCGTTTCGCTCGCTGCGTGGAATCAATGCTAATAACAACAGCCATCCAGAATGGCGAGGCGAATGTGCGAGATCGGCACAGGCAAGGAGGGAATTCGAGAATTTTGAGTTAAAATTCGACGCGTGCGTCTCATTTCGCCAACTGATTTCTAGACCCGCGTATCTTTCTCATTCTCACGAGTCCCCTTTGATTCTCATTTCTCTCAAATACCTTTGTTCCTCCGTTTCACCAAAACTCGACAACGTACTCCATTTATGGTTACAACATTCTCATGCAACCGCATCCCCTTTGTACTCGACGATTCTCTCTTGTCCTGAAAGGACATCCCCTTCAAGCCGTACATGATAGATTCACTCAACTTAGCCATATTCTCACACACACTCGGCAGACAAATCATCTATATATACGCACTATATTTCATGTATTTACTCATCTAAAATCATTGACTCAGTTACTCTCGAATAGATACTGCCTGATCCCTTAACAGATTAAGAGTCTGAGTGCTCTAAATCGACAAAGGCAAAAAAAGCCAACCGCAACCACGCCGCTCCCGACTAAACGACAGCAACTCGATACCTCAAGAATACCAAAACCAACGAAGACTCCCCGACCTCGACAAACGATAACTAGGAAAGACCGAATCGAACTACTCCCCAAAGCAAAACGAAAGATGAACCCGACCGACTCAAGACCGCCCTCCAGAGGCGAAGAAGACAATGAAAACGAACCGAACCTACCACCTGCCATCGATACCAACCTGCCCCCCCAGATGATTATTGGACCAGAGACACCTTCTCTTTGGAACCCCGAAGATGTTACTAGCCCCGTCCAATTCAACCAAATCACCGAAGAAGAAATTGAAAACATGGATCGAAGGACTATGCGAGGTATGCTCATGGCTATGAGCCGCCAAGTCCACAAACCCAACGAATACAAAAGACCCTCGAAGCGTGATGACTTCTTGGGACTACTCAGATGGTTCTCGACTACCATCGGAGTAGCCCCAAAGCTCAACGTCAAGAACTGGCATGTTTGGAACCCATTATTCCTAGACGCTATTGACACTTGGAGCGAAGCTCTCCGACACCTCCAAGGAAAAGTCAAACCTGGCGACGAGAAATTCGACAGAATCCTTGATGGGCGACTCAAGATGATTCTGATTGGAGTCTGCGAAATCGAAGGACCGAACAACCTGAACTACATCCTGGCTAGACCCAAGGATTCTACGCCATGGACTTTCCACGAGCTCTATGAGCAAATCAAAACCAACCTCCTCAAGAACGACGATCTAGACCAAGCCACTATACTTCGAGACGCTGGCCGCCTTCGAATGTACAACAATGATGTTCGGAAACTCATTGAAGACATTCGAAATCACTGGGCCAAAGCCGACACGATGGGACATCCCTTGCCCCAGTTGATGAAAATACAAACATTAATCAACTCAGCTAGATACAATGCATCTTATGCGACATATATCAATACCCTCGAATGCATGGGCAACACCCATGACTTTGATCGAGTTGCTGCTGCACTACTCAAATGCCAGGAACAGATGCAAATGAAGCCAATCCATCGAGTTGCTGCCCCCGGAACGGCATCCAGCAGCATCAGGGTGGTCGAAAGTTCACAGACTGAAGATTACCCTGAAAGCTACTGGAATGGCAAGGCTGGACCCAACGGAGAGGCCCCAAAATGCTACAACTGCTTCGACACCGGACACATCGCCAAGAAATGCCCCAAACCTCGCCGACCCCGTACCTACCCAAATGACCAAACCAGTTCAACCCCTGCCTAGGAAATTTGGTGCACCATCCCTTCAGCTTATCGAGTCTCACTTGAATCGACCAACATCCAAGATTGGATAGTCGACTCAGGTGCAACCGATCACGTCGCCTGCAATAAATCAATGTTCTCTTCCTTCACCCCCTGCCTAGGATACGTGAATACTGCTGGAGACCGCAAGCTTTGAATTAAAGCCAAAGGAGAGATAGAATTAATGTTGGATGGAATTAAAGTAGTTCTTCATGATGTACTTTATGTTCCAGAAGCCAACAGTAATTTAATCTCTGTCCATACGCTGCTGAAAGATGGTGCACGAGTGACCTTCAACCTAACCAAAGCCATTATCACCTGGCCGAACAAATCAAAAACAACTGCCTCGTTTAACCCCAGACGCAAACAATGGGAAATACATAGAAATCAAACCTCTGCTCTTCTCACAAATATTGACGAAATAATCAAAGATCTACCCGAACATTTCGACGCCATAGCACCCCCAAGAAATCCGGACAAAAGGCCGCAAGCAAAATGGCACGAACGACTTGGACACCCTGGGCGAAATAAAAGCTCCATAATTAAGAAATTATATGGAATAAATGCCGAACCCAATCACTCCCTTACATGCCACGACTGCCTAGCTACCAAATCTACCAAAGCGAGAATGGGCAAAGGCGATGGAACCATTTCTAGTCACCCACTAGAACTAGTCCACGTCGACCTCTCGACCCATTTTTCAGAACAAACCGAATTCACCTGCGTGCTGGTAGCAATCGACGATGCTTCCAGTTTCACTTATGTGAAACCCTTACGCAAGAAGTCCGACGCACTCCATGTCCTTCAAGAATGGATCAAATATGCCGAGATTCAAACTGGACGACAATTGAAAACCATACGCTCTGATAATGGAGGAGAATGGTGCTCAAACGTCGCCATGCATTGGCAAAATGAAACTGGCTTCAGGTGGCAGAAATCATCAGTCTATACCAGCAAACAAAATGGCAAGGCCGAAAGAACCATACGCACGATCCGAAACATCATGAGTTCAATGTTGCACACCCACCGACTCCCCCAAACATTCTGGCCATACGCAATCGAAGCTGCAGCATACACGAAGAACTTGCTACCAAATGTCAAAGATCAAATCCCTTATCAGGTCTTCTACAACAAAGATCCCAGAAAACCATTCAGACTACTTAGAACTTTTGGCTGCCTAGCATGGGTAAATATACCCAAGGTAAAAAGGAAGAAACTCGAGGACTCAGCAATCCCAGCTATCTTTGTAGGATATGATGAGGAGCATAAAGGTTGGAAACTTTTATCTCCCAACCACAATCCCAGCGTATTCTGGAGCAACTCAGTAAGATTCCTGGAAGATCAATGCTGGGAAGATAGGACCGACGCAATGCCAATTAAAGAAACGGATGCCATTTTCTATGACAACACTGCCGACATTGAAGATCTCTCATACTCAGAAGAGGATGAATTCGACGAAGAACTCTCCCAACCCCTGGACGACATTTACCACCCCCCTTCAGAAGAGGATCTGATGCTCGAGGGGGACCCTTTTTCACCCAACCTATCACCAGAAGACTCAGAGCCCTCTGAAATATCGACAACACCAACAGGACAAGCCTCAGACGGAACAACAAATTTCGAGCACCGACCCTCTCGTGAAGTTTCACCCATGCCGGACCCAAAGACTCTCTCCAGACAGGTTAGCGAGCAATACTTGGATTCGAATGAAACACTAAGGAAATACCAAAACTATTTCAATCAATTCCATAGTGCATGGGAATCGCGACCCTGGATGCACCCGACCACAATTGCAATACTACTCCGAAAATGCCCAAAGCGTTGGCCAGACGACGAAACCATACGAAACTTCCAAGAAAGTTTGAGGGAACGTGGCCTATTGGTTGACCTACCAAACCCGATATACCAGGCCGAAGCGCAACTGTTATCACCAGTACTCCAACCAACAGTCAAGCAAGCTCTAAGCAGTAAAAACCAAGCCCATTGGAAAGAGGCAATCAAAGCAGAAATGGATGGACTCGAAAGGATGAACATTTGGAAAATAGTGGACAGACCTCCGAACACAAATCTAGTCGACTCTAAACTAGTTTTGACCATAAAGACTGACGCAAACATGATACCAATCAAGTATAAAGCACGATTCTGTGCCAGAGGATTTTCCCAAAGACCTGGCGTAGACTACGATGAAATATTTGCTCCAGTCGTCCCACAAGATGCTATCCGCACAATCCTCACTATCGCAGCCCGGGAGGATTGGGAATTAGATTCCATCGACGTCACCCAAGCATATCTCAACGCTGATCTGCACCACGAAGTCTTTCTCAAACCTCCCGAAGGAGCCGACATCCCAAAAGGCAAAGTTTATAAATTGATCAAAGGACTATATGGACTGAAACAATCTGGCCGAGAGTGGAATTTAGAATTAGATGCCCACCTCCGATCCATGGGTTTCCTTAGTCTCCCTTGCGCACCATGTGTTTATCTCAGGGGGACTGGCGAAACAAAAGTGATCATCGCTGTTTACGTCGACGACATGCTCATCACGGGGCCAAAACGGAGCCTAATTGATACTATCAAAAGGTCAATTACCGACAAATGGAAAATAACGGACAACGGACCAGCCAAGGAATTCCTCAAAATTAAAATTACTCGCAACCGCCAATTGCGAATAATTAGCCTTGATCAGTGAGCATATATTAAAGGAATTATCGAAGAATGGCTACCAGGTGGAGAAAAATCACGAAGCCCAATGGACATATCTCCACCTATCATGCCACCCAACTACACACCCCCAGCAGATGTCAAACAACAGTACCCGTCATTAGTTGGCAAACTAATGTGGGTCTCAAATACTGTCAGACCAGATATTTGCTTTGCAGTGAATACCCTTGCTCGACATATATCTAGGCCCTCCCCCGAAGCGATGCAAGCAGCCCTCAAGATTGTCAAGTATCTAAATCAAACTAAAGACGAGATTCTTACCCTGGGAAATGATAAAGCCAACACCCCCCCAATCGTAACATACACAGATGCAAACTGGGCCTCCGACCCAAATACCGACCGACGCAGCACCTCCAGATCCGTCACCCTAATATTCGGAAGCTTGGTAGGATGGAAATCTCATGTTCAAAAATGTGTATCCCTATCAGCTGTCGAAGCCGAATTTGTAGCAGCATCCGAAGCCTCTCGAGAGGCACTTTTCTATAGATATCTCCTACGAGGCCTGGGTATAGGAGATTTCGTACCCAAGATCCTAACAGACAACACTGGGTGTATACAAGTAGGACGAGACCCAGTTAATCATGCCAAACTTAAGCATATCGACACTAGATACCATTTCCTTCGTTTCTCAGTCCAAGAGAAGGAAGTAGATATCGGATATGTCAAAACCCTTGATAATGTTGCAGACTTCTTGACTAAGCCAGTAAGCCGACACCTAATGACTACTGCACGTCAGCGATTAGGCTTCACTTGCCAAAGCCCCGCTTGTTCAGATGGCGAGGGGGACAGTTAAAATTCGACGCGTGCGTCTCATTTCGCCAACTGATTTCTAGACCCGCGTATCTTTCTCATTCTCACGAGTCCCCTTTGATTCTCATTTCTCTCAAATACCTTTGTTCCTCCGTTTCACCAAAACTCGACAACGTACTCCATTTATGGTTACAACATTCTCATGCAACCGCATCCCCTTTGTACTCGACGATTCTCTCTTGTCCTGAAAGGACATCCCCTTCAAGCCGTACATGATAGATTCACTCAACTTAGCCATATTCTCACACACACTCGGCAGACAAATCATCTATATATACGCACTATATTTCATGTATTTACTCATCTAAAATCATTGACTCAGTTACTCTCGAATAGATACTGCCTGATCCCTTAACAGATTAAGAGTCTGAGTGCTCTAAATCGACAAAGGCAAAAAAAGCCGACCGCAACCACGCCGCTCCCGACTAAACGACAGCAACTCGATACCTCAAGAATACCAAAACCAACGAAGACTCCCCGACCTCGACAAACGATAACTAGGAAAGACCGAATCGAACTACTCCCCAAAGCAAAACGAAAGATGAACCCGACCGACTCAAGACCGCCCTCCAGAGGCGAAGAAGACAATGAAAACGAACCGAACCTACCACCTGCCATCGATACCAACCTGCCCCCCCAGATGATTATTGGACCAGAGACACCTTCTCTTTGGAACCCCGAAGATGTTACTAGCCCCGTCCAATTCAACCAAATCACCGAAGAAGAAATTGAAAACATGGATCGAAGGACTATGCGAGGTATGCTCATGGCTATGAGCCGCCAAGTCCACAAACCCAACGAATACAAAAGACCCTCGAAGCGTGATGACTTCTTGGGACTACTCAGATGGTTCTCGACTACCATCGGAGTAGCCCCAAAGCTCAACGTCAAGAACTGGCATGTTTGGAACCCATTATTCCTAGACGCTATTGACACTTGGAGCGAAGCTCTCCGACACCTCCAAGGAAAAGTCAAACCTGGCGACGAGAAATTCGACAGAATCCTTGATGGGCGACTCAAGATGATTCTGATTGGAGTCTGCGAAATCGAAGGACCGAACAACCTGAACTACATCCTGGCTAGACCCAAGGATTCTACACCATGGACTTTCCACGAGCTCTATGAGCAAATCAAAACCAACCTCCTCAAGAACGACGATCTAGACCAAGCCACTATACTTCGAGACGCTGGCCGCCTTCGAATGTACAACAATGATGTTCGGAAACTCATTGAAGACATTCGAAATCACTGGGCCAAAGCCGACACGATGGGACATCCCTTGCCCCAGTTGATGAAAATACAAACATTAATCAACTCAGCTAGATACAATGCATCTTATGCGACATATATCAATACCCTCGAATGCATGGGCAACACCCATGACTTTGATCGAGTTGCTGCTGCACTACTCAAATGCCAGGAACAGATGCAAATGAAGCCAATCCATCGAGT